TTTGGCCTTCTTTTCTATAGCACATCACAAGTATTAACCTTCCCTAGGAACACTTCCCAACAAAAGGCTTGCACTTTAGGAGGGATCGGTTTACACCAGATTTCTCTCACTGGAAAGTTCACCCCCAAAGGATTAGAATGAGTGAGCAGACCGAAGAAAGAGGCACAAGAAAATAAACCATCAGGAGTTGGGGACCATACTCTACTATCAGCTGTAGTTTGGTCTAAATAGACCTTCTCAAGGGTTGAAAGCAAAAGCAATAGGGATTCACATTCATTTTCCCTTAGCCCCCTTCTGAAGCCAAAGTCCCAAGAGATACCCAAATCTGAAAGTATGCCAACCCTAGCAACAGGTTTGTTTTTAAGGTTTGATAAAGAGTAGAGGTCCAGAAAATTATCCTTAAAAGGCAAATCCCCAACCCAAAGGTCTTCCCAGAATAAAACTTTATTGCCACACCCAACACCGAGATGAATAATTGAAGAAAAGTTGGTAGTACCTCAAAGATTGCCTTCTAGGGGAAGTTCAAAGCTGCATTGGAGGCTAATTTTGCATCCTAGTTGTTTTCTGCTTCACCATGAATGCTCTTAATGACCCTGTGCCACAACCTATCTTCTTCACAAGGGAATCTCCATAGCCATTTCCCTAGAAGGGCCTTGTTTTTCTGTAAGATGTTCTCAATACCTAGGCCACCTTGCTCCTTAGGTTTACAGACTTGCTCCCACTTCACTAAATGATCCTTCTTTTCATCACCAGGTTCCCAGAAGAAATCCCTCATTATCTTCTCCAACTTCCTTGCTATTTTCACCGGGATTTTAAAGGTGGAAAGGAAATAGGTAGGCAGGTTTGCTAGGGTGGATTTTATCAAGGTGATTCTACCCCCACGGGAAATGTAATTTCTCTTCCACATTGCCAACTTCTTTGTGAATCTCTAAAATTGGCTTCCAAGAACTTTCAGTTTTTGGGTTTCCCCCCAATGGCAAACCTAGGTATTCTAAGGGCCAGCTTTTCACTTCACAACCTAGCAAATTTGCCATGGCTTGGATGTCACCCTCCCCTATGTTTATTCCAGCTACAAAACGTTTTCCCCAATTTACTTTTAGTTTGGAGGCCTGTTGAAACTTGTCCACCAAAATTTTCAGATTCCTCAAACTGGATTCACCACAACTCTCATAGAAAATGATTGTATCATCTGCAAATTGCAAGTGAGACACCACCACTTTTGAACTATCAATCCTCTAGCCTTTAAACTGATTTTCTTGGTCAGCCTTGATGATTTGTCTACTTAGAACCTCAGCCACAATAGTAAATAAGAATGGGGATAAGGGATCACCCTGTCTCAGTCCTCTTTTAGCCAAGAAGAAATCTTTTGCTACCCCATTTAGGAGAATAGAGAAGTGTGCTGAGATAATACATTCTTTGATCCACATTCTCCATCTTTCACCTAAACCCATCTTTTCCATGAGATTCAACAAGAAGGACCAATCCACCATATCATAAGCTTTTTCTAGATCCAATTTACAAACCAAACCTTTGCCACCTTGTTTTTTCTTAGCTACCACACATTCATTTGCCACTAAGATTTGATCCACTATTTGTCTCCCTTCTACAAAAGCTCATTGGTTTTGTGAAATAACAAATGGCAAAACTGTTTTCAACCGACCAGCCAGAACTTTAGCAATGATCTTGTACATGCTACTCACAAGACTTATCAGTCTGTAATCCTTAGGGGTTTTGGCCTCTTTCTTTTTTGGCACTAGAGCGATAAATGTTGCATTTGCTCCTGGAGAGAGTTTCCCATTTTGATAGAACTCAACAAAGACATCCATTAAATCATCCTTCAGGATTTCCCAACATTCTTGATAGAAAGCCATTGAAAAACCATCCGGCCTTGGAGCCTTTGATCTGTCCATCGAGAAGATTGCTTCATGGACCTCCTCTACACTGAAGGCTCTTTCTAAGATAGCAGCTTTGGTTTCTGGCACTCTATCCCACTATAATTCTCCCAACTCCAAGTTGCTTTCAATAGAGGAACCTAGGATTGACTTAAAATGATCCACAAAGCACCTTTCAATTTCCTCCTTTGAGTTGATTTCTCTTCCCTCCACCTCTATACTAGAGATTTGGTTTTTCCTTCTTTGCCCATTTGCTAGGGAGTGGAAAAATCTAGTGTTTCCATCCCCCTCCAAAAGCCATTTGCATCTTGATTTTTGTCTCCAAGAAATTTCTTCTTTCCTTAGGATCTCCTCTAGTTGCACTTTTAAATTCCATCTTTCGGCTCTATCCTCCGGCCCACATTCTTTATTGGCTTCCTTTTGATCCAACTTTTCTATTTTCCTAGCTAAATCCTCCTTTAATACCTCAAGATTTCCAAATTCCTCTTTGTTCCACTCCTTGATCTTTTCCTTCAATCTTTTAAACTTCTTGGTGAATCTCACCACCTTCTCTCTAGCCCCTATTCCACCTTCTGACCTCCAATCTTTTACCTTTCACAAAAAATTTGGAACTTGCAGCCACATTCTCAAATCTAAAGGATGTGGGGCCTCCAATAAGGTTTTCTTGGTAGAGGCTTAGAGGGCAATGGTCCGAGGTTACTCTAGGGAGGGCTTTTAGTGTTAAGTTTCCCCACAACTCCTCCCAATCAAAAGAGAAAAGAAACCTGTCCAGTTTTGAGAAGACTTGACTTTCCTGAAAATTTGACCATGTGAAGGAGGCTTGCAACAAGATAGGTTCTCTCAATTCTAGGGATTCAATCAAGGAGTTGAAATGTCTCATACTTGTTGTTATGGTCTGATTGGGATTGTTTGTCTCACTTGTGTACCTTATCACATTGAAATCCCCACCCAAACACCACGGACCATCCCACAGGCCCCTAATTGCAGCTAACTCTCCCCATAATGTATCCCTCTCTCTATATGAGTTCAGGCCATACACATTAGTCAGCACCCACATCCTTCCATCACTCATCCTCTTGGCTTTTATTGATACTGAGTATTGTCCTATCAA